ACTTAAAGGGAAAATCACTTTTTACTAGATATGCCCAAACGAAAACCTTCATTTAATTGTGCATTTTTTCATTGTAGTAGATCTAAAAACAACTTGAAAAGCAGCAGATCTCTTGTATTTGCCTTTGTTTGCACTACCCTTTATACCCAGTCCAAACAGTCACAGACTGCAATGCAGCACTGTAACAAATATTCGCAAGTCATATACTCTGGGAAATATTCTAAATCTTGAGTTTAGCTCCGCAAACCAGGAAGTAACAGGACTTGTCTGCTTGAAAGCAATTCGGGTGCAACATAGTTAATTTATAAAAGTGTCAATTTCTGCTGAAATCTGCACTTTTTGTAAAAGTTTAAGACAACGACATACTATTCTCACATATAGCATGTCAGCACACTAAAGTGCTTTAGGAGTCCAGAGTGTCCCTTTAAGCGTAGCACAGCTAAAGAAAATAGGCAATGTTTCAAACCTGCTTTCTGAGCAACTAATCCAATCAGATCAAATGTATAATGAACATATTTATGCTGTATTTGAAATAGACAGCACAGTCACCTTATTAATAAAGCAGTAAAGGTCTAACTAATTTTAAAGTGGAACTGTCAAGTAGCGGCTCTTCTTTGGTCACCTGAGTCCCCATTAAACAATTTACTGGTGTGTATAAGGAAGAGGAGATTAATAAAAAAAAGAAACATTTAGCTCCTCTGCATTAAGGGCAATTTTATTGTCTCACAATGCCTCGAGCAAATAAAAACTAGTGACAATTTTTTAAAACTATACAAATACATTAATGGAACACTAGCTAATAAAAGACACACGACCATGAGTGTAGACTACTACAAGGCTCCAGAATGACTGAACCTGAGAGGACTCACATTAACCCACTCTTGTTTTGTCCACATTCCCCATTCAATTTTTGTTAGGGTTAAAGGGACTCTTCAGTGCCAGGAAAACAAATCGGTTTCCTGGCACTGCAGGTCCCCTCTTCCTCCCCCCATCACAAATCCCCTTCAGTGACTTACCTGTATCCAGTCCCTCGGCGCTGGGTCCGCCCACGCTCCTCACCCACCGACGTCATCCGGCGGGTGAGACCTATTGAGCATGTGCGGCTGGCAGCAGGGGAGACCTAATGCGCTGCAATGTCGCACACACGCGTTAGACCTACCCATAGGAAAGCATTGAATAATGCTTTCAAATGGGTATTTCAGCGACGCTGGAGGTCCTCACATAGCATGAGGACGTCCAGCAACGTTATAGCACACTTTTCGTGTTCTATGAACACGGAAGTGTCCTCTAGTGTGTCTAGTAGACAGCCACTAGAGGAGGACTTAACCCTGCAAGGTAAATATTGCAGTATATGAAAACTGCAATAATTATACTTGCAGGGTTAAGGGTAGTGGGAGTTGGCACCCAGACCACTCCAATGGGCAGAAGTGATCTGGGTGCGTGGAGTGTCACCTATTTTTTTACGTTTTGTAGGTCTTTACTTTTATGTGTTTTACCTACAACACTGAACGCACACGTGAAAGCTGTAAACAAAATTTACTGTAAAATCTTTTGTTTTACTTTATCTGTGAAAACTTAATAAGAAGTACAAATTGAAGAATTGGGTGTTCTGTGTATAAACGCGCTTAGTGGATAAACCAATAGTAGATGCAGGTGTAAGTAAAACAGATTTACATTTAAAATGGTAAAAAAGAACCGAAACCCAGGTGGAACAAACCACTAAAGGTGTTTCTCAATGGAGCGCTAGGACAAAAACTTACCCCTATATATAATCTTACGGTTGCATACTTCCCCATTATATATAGGGGTAAGTTTATTTGTCCTAGCACTCCACTGAGAAACCCCTTTAGTGGTTTGTGCCACCTGGGTTTCGGTTCTTTTTTAAATAAGACACAAGGCTGTTACAAGAAGATACAGACTTGAATGTGTACTGGAAACACAGGACATGATTGACAGGTATGAAAACCTAGAGTTTGGGGCTCTTTGAAAGGTTATAATTGAACACTATGTACACATGACTGGACGTTTGTCCAGGTCACAGGGGCGGCTCGGGGGTCCCTGGTCACAGGGGCGGCTCGGGGGTCCCTGGTCACAGGGGCGGCCCGGGGGTCCCTGGTCACAGGGGCGGCCCGGGGGTCCCTGGTCACAGGGGCGGCCCGGGGGTCCCTGGTCACAGGGGCGGCCCGGGGGTCCCTGGTCACAGGGGCGGCCCGGGGGTCCCTGGTCACAGGGGCGGCGCGGGGGTCCCTGGTCACAGGGGCGGCCCGGGGGTCCCTGGTCACAGGGGCGGCCCGGGGGTCCCTGGTCACAGGGGCGGCCCGGGGGTCCCTGGTCCTGGTTGTCACGGTAATCACAGTATGAATGTCATGGAGAGATAAGGTGTAACTGTATGAGCATGGTAACGGCAGCTCACCGAGCACGGGGCCCCTGCCAGCCTCATCTATCCCCAGGCAGCAGTCCTCCCTCTTGCACTCCTCGGGGACGGGCGAGGCCAGGAGCCGGCTGCAGGAATTGTCCCGTTCGAAATCCCCGAGCTCCATGCTTACTGCAGCACTTCCGGCATCAGTGGCAGCTTTCCCGCGCAATCCGAATGACGTCACTAGACGCGCCAGCCAATGAGCCGATTCCCCAGATTCATCAAACTTTATTAGTAGCGAGCAGAACGCACAGTGTGTGGGATGTAGTGAGGGTCTGTGTGCCACTGTCCAAGTTCTGAAATAAACCCGGACTGGGTGCCTTGTTTGTTTTACTGTTATTTATGGGCTGCTCTTAAAATGCCCTCAGACAGATTGTATTTGGTTATTAAAGAACAACAAAAAAGGCCTTTTAGTATCCTATATTAAAATATAACATTTCAAATAGATAAAGAGGGACACTTTAATTTTAAGGGGGCGAAGGGGGTCTGTTCTGAAAAGTTTTATGTGATTTACTATTAGCAATTTGTAAAAGTAAAATGTAATTTAGAACATTAACAATGTATCTTATTTACACAGACTGATTTCTAAACACATTTATTGTAGTTTAAAGACACATTACTGGGAGTATTATTGCTATGGAGCTCTGTTATACACACAGACACATTACTGGGAGTATTATTGCTGTGGGGCTCTGTTATACACTCAGACACATTACTGGGAGTATTATTGATGTGGAGCTCTGTTATACACTCAGACACATTACTGGGAGTATTATTGCTTTGGAGCTCTGTTATACACTCAGACACATTACTGGGAGTATGATTGCTGTGGAGCTCTGTTATACACTCAGACACATTACTGGGAGTATGATTGCTGTGGAGCTCTGTTATACACTCAGACACATTACTGGGAGTATGATTGCTGTGGAGCTCTGTTATACACTCAGTCACATTACTGGGAGTATTATTGCTGTGGAGCTCTGTTATACACTCAGACACATTACTGGGAGTATTATTACTGTGGAGCTCTGTTATACACTCAGACATTACTGGGAGTATTATTGCTGTTGAGCTCTGTTATACACTCACACACATTACTGGGAGTATTATTGCTGTTGAGCTCTGTTATACACTCAGACACATTACTGGGAGTATTATTGCTGTGGAGCTCTGTTATACACTCAGACACATTATTGGGAGTATTATTGCTGTGGAGCTCTGTTATACACTCAGACACATTACTGGGAGTATTATTGCTGTGGAGCTCTGTTATACACTCAGACATTACTGGGAGTATTATTGCTGTGGAGCTCTGTTATACACTCAGACACATTACTGGGAGTATTATTGCTGTGGAGC